GTATCTTTGTATATACTAGAACAGAGGCATTTCTTCTACTTTATCTAAACTCAATTGAATTTAGTTATACAGTCTCTTTTCTCAGTTGAATAGAGTTATATTCTTCTAATTCATTTTTGAGAAGTAGCATTTCTTCTTCATAGTCAAAAATTTCAACTGAAATATTATGAAGAATAAATTTATCTCACTTTTCATCTCTTTCAGATAGAATTATTGTGTTTAACAAAGATTTTACTGCTGATTTTCAGAGATTCTCATTCTGAATAAGAAATTCTGCACTGAATTCAGGCATTGTAGTCAGAATGATAGAGTTTTCAAAGAAGAATAGCTCAATTGAAGCTATAACTGATTTTTAAACTTCAATATCAGTCATTAACTGAGAAAAGAACTGCTGATTAATTTCATTTCTGATTCTGAAAATGAGATTTGAGTTTAGCTTGTTTCTTTGTAAGATGTTCTGATTTGAGACTTTGAGAATAAGTTTTTTATTTCTGAAGATTTAAAGGTTTTTCTTCTTTTGTATTTTTTTCTTCACTTTTCTATGAATAAAAGTATGAGCATTATTCATCTCAGTTTTCTCAGGATTTTGAGCAGATTTTGAGATAGCAGATTTAGAGACAGTAGATTCAGCTGCTTGAGCATATGTTTTCTTCTGATTCAAAGAAGAAGAAGAACTAGAAAAAGAGAAAGAAGAATAAGATAAGAAGTCAGTGATTGTACTAGGAATTTTCAATGTTTTTTGAACTGTGTTTGAAATTTCAAGTTTGAACTTGATCATCTTCTGTTGTTGTCTAGCCTGAGTATAAAGAATTAACAGAACTTCTTCATTCATCTCACTCAGATACTGCTTTTCAAGAATCTTGCTTACTTTTTCAAGTTTCTGTATTTCAAGAACTTGTTGTTTCTCTATTTCTTCTTTCTTTCTTCTCTTCAGAATTTCAATCTCAGAAATGCCATTTGAGAAAGCATCTTTTTCCACATTAACTGAGTGTATTTTTAAACTCATTATTCTCACTCAATGAAAAGTTGATCAGACTGTTTCAATTGAGATATGTATTGAACTCTTTTAAAAAGTTGATCAGACTGTTTCAATTAAGAGGTTTCTAAGTCTATTTTCAATTGAAAAGTTGATTAGACTATTTCAAAAGAAGAATAAAAGACTTTTATATATAAAACACCTGATTTTTTTCACACTAGTTCAGTAACTAGGTTAGATTTTTGAAGAGAATCTAATAAACTAAAATTAATTTTTGAGATAAATCAATAAAATCTTTACAAACTCTTTCTTGAAATACAGTGAGGAAAAGTATGATATCAATTGATATTAAATCAGATAATATAACAGTTTTTGAGAGAAAAACTGACAAAAAATAAATCAATTTTTTACAGAAAAATTGATTAAAATTATTCAATTTTATTCTAAATTATTCAATTCTTCTCACACAACAAGTGTGCAACTCAAATCAGTTAATAAAGAGTGTAAAAAAGAATTAAGTATTAATAAAAGCTCTTCAGTCACTGAAAAAGTAATTCTTACTTAAAAGAATATCAAATTATGATAGAAAATAGCTCTGTTTTTAATTCTTTGTAAGAATATTATATAAAACTCAGAGAAAAACATCTTACTTTTTTAAGAGAAGTAAAAAACTATTTTTAAGATCTTTTTTTGCATTAACTGCTGCAGAAGAATGAGATAGAATTTGCTAAGATATGCACTACTATATACTCTCTATCAAGACTTTCTCTCTTCAGAGTCTTGATATTATAGAGAATATAAGTCTGTTTCTATATAATAATATAAATATTGTCAGCAGGATGTAGAGAAACTGGTTATTTATCTCTTAAAATAGAAGACTTTGTTAATGATTATATCAATATAGAGTTAATTCTCAAATTCAATAGAAATCTAGTATTGCTGTTCTCAATCTCTTGCAGAATCTATTAAATATTGAGATATTAAAACTAGATTTAATATATCTCACTATGCAGAGATCAAAGACTCAGTCAGATCTTGAGATATACTGAATTTATAGTTATTAATATACTGTTGACTTGTTCTGTTGACTCATTGTCTGCTGATTATATATTGAATACTGTTGCTGAGATATCTTTTTGTATTATTCTGCTGAGAATGAGCCAGATTGAGATGAGTAGTATGAGAGTGAGACTGAGTGTTGATGTCTAGATACACTGAAGACAGATCATGAAGATTACACTTCAGAAGTGTCTGTTAATTATATACTTGATATTATTATCAAGATATCTTTTTGTATTTTTCTGCTGGGGATGAGCCAGATTGAGAAGGATGATATGAGGGTGAGACTTGATGTTGATGTTTTGAAACATCAAAGATGAACAGGGTTTTCACAGAGATCACTTCTCAGATATCTTCACAATTACAGATCAGAGATCTTCCAAAATTGAGAAGATTGATGCATATGACTAGGTCTCTTCATCTTACAATTTGTATGGCAATTTGGCCCGGGATTGTGATGTGATAGAGGAGAATGGGGGATAATCTCACACAGGAGTTTTGAACAACATCTGGTTCATGTTTGACTGAATAACTTCACCACCACATGAGGTATGCGGTCGGCGATGGGGTCAAAATGCTTGTATGATTGAGGGCTTTTCGATGGATCTATCGGCGGGTTCTTATTCAAAAAATCGAGCGAGTTTGTGGTAAAGCGGATGTTTTTTGAGTTATACTGAAGTATTCGTATTTGTTATAGTGATTATAGTAGAGAGATAACTCTTCAGTAATCTACAATGTAATCTATTAATAATTATTTCATAGTTCATCTTGATATTTGTGTTGAGTTTTTCATAAATTTCATGACCTGAAATTAGATATGAAGAATGAAGTAATCATTTACTATGATTGAAAGAGAGCATTCTGTATTAAATTGTAAACAATATAGACTTTATAATTCACAGTGATTTCTTAAAGAGTTTGTGAATGTTCAATAGAAGTGAAAGAAGTGAAAGAAGTGAATTCAGAAGATATAATAAAGATTTAAGAAAGATAATAATTTATTTTTAATAAAGATAATAACTGATCACTGATATATATAAGAAGAATTATTATAAGAGAAAATAATCTTCTTTCTTAGCTTAGGTATAATTTTAGTACTAACTCAGATTGAATATCATTAATGTATAAAAGTAAATAAACAATCTTTTTATTAATCTCTGTCATATTTCTTGAAATATATTAATATTGTGAAAGAGAGTATTACTAAATTACATTTTCAGATGATATTATTCAAAATATATTAATATTATAAATATTCATGTTGAAAAAATGTTGATACTTATACATTATAGTGATTTGTAAATCATGATTATTAAATATATAAATATATATTATTTCTGACATTTATTACAACTTATACAATAATTTTTGAAAACTCAAAATTAATTTTAATTATTAATAATTATGAACTTACAACTAACTAGTATAAAAAGGAAAAAACTTTTTCTACTTATCATCTTTCTTCTCTTTCTTATTCTTCTTATTCTTCTTTATAATTCACTTCTTATTCTTATTCTTCTTCTTCTTCTCCTTATCTGAGATGATAATTATCTCAAAATCTTTCTCTACTGTCTTCTCAGAGAAGAGTTTCTGCTACTCTTTCTCAGTCAGGTCAATCTGTACCTCAAAATCCCATATTTTCTAATCTGCTATCTTGGGTTTCATCTCAGTGATAAGCAGATTGATATACTGAGAGAGCAGGGCTGTCTTCTCAATATTCTGAATTATGAAGTGCATTTGAGATCTGAACAAGGTCTCAATCCTCTTCTTCTCTATCAGCTTCTGCTAATCAATTAGAGAACAGAAGTATTATTAAAAATCATTATCTCTTAATAAATAAAAAACTTATCAGTTTTAACTTTTTTATCTTCTTCTTTAATACTCTCTCAATCTTCTTCTATCACTGCTTATTTACAGTATCACTCTTCTTCTCTCTTTCTCTCTTTATCTTGATCTCAAATCATTCTCAGAACTTCTTCTGATCTTATTACTACTGTATAAGACTCTTCACTGTCTTCTTTTTCAATCTCTCACAGATGATGTCATCTGTATTATTTCTATACTTAGTTCAGTCTAAATCTATCAGAAGTGTTACTTAAAATTGTTATTATTCTACTCTCTTACAGAGTCTCTTTAAGATATTATAATATGTCTTACAATCTGTCTTCTCTTACTTAAATGTCTTCTTCTTCTCTCTCTTCAATCTGTGACAGTGCTTACATGCCTTGATGATTCACAGAACTGCAGAATATTTGAAGAGAAATGACATAATTAATTTCAGTGATCATTGAAGAGAGGTGAAGGCAGAAGAGACAGCTAGAAATAATATAATAATAATAATGATAATGATAATGATGATGATAGTGATAATAGTAATAATGATAATAATGATGATAATAATGATGATGATGATAATAATGATGATGAAAGAAGAAGTGCATTAAAATATATTACTGACTTATTAAATATAGAGAGACTTAAAGAAAATATTAACAGCTTTTAGAGATGTATAAAAACAGCTACAGTGTTGTATAGTAACATTATCTTCATTCAATGCATACACTGTTGATATTCTTTGTATGCAGTTATTATATAATCTATATCAGAGATACATGCAGGAAACAGATCTTTGTTACTAGAATAAATGATTGCAGCAATTCTCTGTTTTCATATTATAAAGATAAGTTATTCTCATTTCTTTCTTCTCTCTTTTCTCTTCTTCAATCAATCACTAATTTCAAGCTGATATGAAAACTATTAAAACACTCTCAGAAACTCTTAAATTGAAGAGTATAGATTAATCAAATTTCAAATGTAGAAGAAATCAAATTATCTTCTACAGATTCAATTATTCATTCTCTTCTTAAATAAAACAGTAGTTGCATTCCCTCTCTTCTTCTCTCAATCAAACAAAACATGGTCTGTGAAAAGTGAGTATCATATCAGATTATAATGATCAACACAGTCTCAGTATGCAGAGCTGCATACATGCAGTGCATGCTGAACTGAGAGACTGTGTGAGTTGCAAATCAACAGCAGTATCTCAGAGAGAGTCATACAGTGTGAAAAAGCTGCAACTCTCAGTTACATGCACAGAGAGTGAATCACTGCAGTAAGTATATATACATTGTATGAAAGTAATGCTTTTTAATAACACTCAGTCTCTGATATTATGAAAATAGAGTCTCTCTGTGAGATCTGTTATTATCAGAAGTTAGAGAATCTTATATTTCTCAAGATCATCTTTACATGCCTTATTCATGAAATTAATGAGAGAAATCATCAATTTCAGCATTCTGTTCTTGATATCATTCAAGTGATAGCAGAGTTCACCCTGGCCACACTTTTTAAGTGTATGTTTTCTAATTATTCACATTTATACAGATATATACTGATTATTTATTAGATGATGTTAAGACAATGACTCATTGCAGCTGTGTTACTCTCACTGTGAGAAATACACAGTTGATGATAAATATTGTGAAGACTCTGAGAAGTGAGTATTTTAAAAGTGCTGTGACTCTGCAATCTTGATTTTTTTTGTTTTTATTTTTTGATTTTTTCTTTTTCTTTGCTTTTTTTTTTCTTTCTCTTTCTCTTTTTTTTTTTTGTTGTGATTTTCTTTTTGTTTTTATTTTATTTTTTGTTTTTTTGTTTTTTTTTTTATATATTATATTTTTTTATAATTAAAATTATATGAATTATGATCTGTGTTCAGAAAAGTAATAATATTTGATAACACTCTCTGTTAAATTTTTAATAAATGAGTACTATGTTATGATATTATGTAAGTGAGAAATGATTTTATAATCTCATTTGATGCCATTCTTAATAATGAAATCAGAATGAAAATGTGACTAAGAATTCAAACATATTCTTTATCTGAGACTAGTTTTTCATTTGAAAAGTAAATCTGAAACCTTTAATATTTGAAATAATGTGATTTGAGATTAATGTGATGAACACAAATCATGATCAGAAGTAATACTTTTAGACAACATGATAACTGTAAAGTTTGATTCTGGTTTCAGACACGGTCACACGGTCAGTCTACTTTCAATTATGATGAATAATTACTTCATTCTTCACATCTGATTCCAGGTCATGAAATTTATGAAAAACTCAACACAAATATTGAGATGAACTATGAAATAATTATTAACAGATTGCATTGCAGATTACTGAAGAGTTATCTCTCTGCTGTAATCACTGCAACTTTATTCAAAAACATTCATCATGAACTTATTATAACTCTGATGAAATTTTCTGACATCTGAAGTCATCAGAATACAGTTAATAAAAGAAAAATAATCAGAAAATTACTACTGAGCTGATAAGTTACTTCATCAGATAATGATTTTTAGTAACACTAACTTTCTAATTTGAAGAAAATCATGTGAAAATGATCATGTATCAGTACTCTGATTTCACAACTCTTATCTAATAACTTCTATGAATAATTACTTCACATATATATTTCTGAGTCTTTCTCTTTGATCAATTGAAAACCCCGAATTCTGAACACTTTTTCAAATGCTTAATTCAAATCTTTGTATTTCATATTGATTATATCTTCAGTTCAATCTCAAGACACACTACAAAGTTAATATATAATATCTAGAATCAGAGTTGAAGAATTATTAAAGAGTGTCTCTCACAGTGAATACATGAACTAGTACAAACTATCTTACATTTATGAGAGTTATATGTTATCATATTAATGAGAACTGAACTTATTAAGAGATATTAATTGAATTTAAATCATTGATTAGTAGTCATACTGAGGATTATATAACAGAGATATTAATAACAGTGATTAAAAATGACTATTGAGATATTAGTCTCAGTCTTCTTATAATTATAACTGATAATGCTGTGAATAACTACACTATGATGAAGAGCTTAGAGTAAAAATTGACTTTGCATTTCTGAAATAATAAACAAGATCATATTCTCTGTATTGCTTATAAGATTCAATTTGTGATATAAACACTGATAAAGAATCTTAACATTGAGATGATGAATAATAAGATAATTGATTCTTGAAATGAGAATGAGATGAAAGTGATTACTCAAGTAACTTTTACATTCATTTTATAAAAGATAATATTTTTTGATAACACTTTTTAATATTGCTTTTTGATAACACTTTTTAATAACACTACTGTTAATTTTGAATAGATTAACTAATAATTTAAATATCACAGATTTGAAACATTGCTAATATGCTTTGTATCTCTTCTAAATAATAATAATAATTTCATAATATTTATTAAATAAACAAATCAGTCATATCACTGAATATGATACAGAATGTTAGAACACAGTAAAGTTCAATATATAAAATAACTGTTCAGACTCTTTGATTATATCAGATGATTGATCATTGAGTGTAATACTCTAATTAAGAAAAGATTCAGATATTGAAACTTTCTGATATGAAGTAAACTCAGTTAAAATATGTGATTAATTTACTGTTTCAGTTTTATAAGATAATGAAGACAGTCTCAATCACTTGTACATCAATACTGCAGTCAGTCTGATGAGTATATAATAGTTTATTTACTTATCTTAAGAAGTAGTTGAATTACTTAAAAAGAAATTCAGTCTGAGATAATGCTATAGCACAGACTATTATTACTATAAGAAATAAACTAGTATATTACTACAGTAAAACTGAAAAATCTTTTACAGAGTACTATACTATAGCAGCTCTATTAGATTTCTCTCATTCAGTTAATATCTACACTTCTCAAGATTGAACAGAGAAGAAATAAGACTTAAATATTAAATTAGTCTAAGACTACTAGAATGCGAACTATCAGAGATTTGAATAAGCAGATATTAATTAGAGATGTGAAGATAGTGAAATACAATTCTCTAGTAAGTAATAATCTTTGATAATACTTCATATTACATATAATTATAATACTAACTTTGAAACAGAACTTATATACATTAATTACAACTGAAAATCAGATAAAACTATATACTTATAAAACTGAATTTAACTGCTATCTTCAAGATAATTCAACAAATTTATACATTAAATCAATTCTAAAGTTATAAAAAATTATTAAGAGTATATATTCAACTGTTACACTGATAATATATAATATTCTAGTAATTTCATTGACAGAGGTGAGAATGAAGTGAAAGTTCAACTCAAGCTGAGATATTTATCACTATCACTGAGATTAATTATAAGAAGAAATAATCAAGAAACTCATGATTATAAAACATAGACTTATCAGATAGTTTAATATCTCTGATCACAGTATATCAGAGAAGTATAGTTTTCATGAGAAAGTGAAGAATAAACTTGTACAAGAATGTATCTAGTTATTTCATGAGTGTTATCAATAATTGTTATCAAATTCTGATTATATAAGCAATTACTGAATGAACTGAATGAGACTGAATTTGATCTTCAGTCTCAGTCTCATTCTGATTTTGAAAGAATGATTATTTTTCACAGTTTATTCTGAGAAATTACTCTCATTTCACTGTTCTTGCATTAAATCTGGTTATTTTTCACATCATTTCTCTCACAAATGGTTCATTTTCAGATTTTTTTGATGCTTAGTTCTGATGGGACTCATGTCAAGAAATATATGAGATCAGATCAAATGGGATCAAATGTGAAATTCATAGTCCTGCCGGCCAGTCTAGTCATGATAGACAGCGGTCTATGTTATTATACAATGATTAAATCTTCAGTTGTAAGACATTACAACCTTCAGTGCATTCTCTTATCAAAACTCTGATTCCTTTCAGAATTTGATCACTCAAAAGACATTTGTATCTGTTACATGGTGAAGTTGATCATAGATGTGAGAGGATATTAACATGAAGATGTCTACATATATGAAGTTGATAATCTTGATTACAATCTTATGTTAGAACTTGCCTGGCTATCTGAACAAGGCATCTTGTTAAATACTTGAAACAGAAGCTTGATATTCTCTAACAATGATAGGATTCACAAAGATGACATTCACAAGATCGTGAATCTGACACAGATCTCTGTCAACATGTATGAAATGCTCTGAAAAAGAAGTTGCTGACAGTAGAACTATGTGACAATCTATTTCATCAGTCTGATCAATATTAAAAAGGCTCTAGAAAAGTTATTCTGTGTTACAATAACAGATTCTTGTACAAAACTCTCTCAATAATATCATGAATATCTAGATGTCTTCTGATAAGATAATACTATGAATATACTTCTCTTACAAGATTCTGAAGTGAATCACAGTATCAAGTTAGAGAAGAAGAATGATAAGAATTCTGAATCATTATAAGACTCTCTTTACAACTTGTTCTGAGATGAACTTCTTTTTCTTCAAAAGATACTCAATGATCTATTGAATAAAGAATTCATACATGTTAGTATTTCTTTCACTGCAGCCTCTATTCTCTTTGCAAAGAAATCAGGTGAAGAACTTTGATTCTATGTGAACTATCAAGAACTGAACAGAATAACAAAGAAAAACTGCTATTCACTATCTCTTATCAATAAAATCCTAGCTTGTATTGAACAAGCTCAATGATTTACAAAACTAGATATTATCATCATATTTCATAAGATTCACATCACTGAAGAAGATGAGTGACTTACAGTATTCTGAACATGATATAACCTCTTTGAATGAGTAGTTACCCTTTTCAGACTAGCTAACATTCTCAGTACATTTCAGAAGTATATCAACTGAGCACTCTGAGATTTCCTTGATAAATTTGCATCTGTATATCTTGATAACATTCTCATCTTCACTGATGAGTTCAGGAAAGAATATCAAGAATATTTATAGAAGATATTACAATAGCTACAAGAAGGAGAACTACTGATAGATATTGACAAGTGTGATTTTGAAGTCAAGAGTATTAAATATCTGAGTTTTATTATAGAAGCTAGCAAGAGAATTTGAATGAATTCTGAGAAAGTCTCTGTCATTCTTGAATGAAAAGCTCTGTATACTGTGAAAGATGTATAAAGCTTCATCAGATTTACTAACTTCTATCAGTGATTTATACAAACTTCTCAGATATCATAAGATTACTTACAGAACTTATCAAGAAGAACTCAGTATTTCAGTGATCAGCAGACACTGAAGCTGCATTCATACAGATGAAGAAGATGTTCATCAATGCCTCTCTGCTAATGATATTTAACTCTGATCACAAAACAGTTGTTAAAGCTGATTTCTCTGACTACATGACAGAAGAAGTGATATTGTAATATAATGATAAAGATGTTCTACAATTATATATCTTCATATCTAAGAAACTGAGTTCTGTTAAATGCAATTATGAGATCTATGATAAGAAACTTCTTGCAATTGTACACTGTCTAGAAGAATGAGACTTCAAACTCTGAAGTGTCTCTGAATTTGAGATAATCACAGATTATAAGAACCTCAAACACTTCACAATCACTTATAAACTCACTGAATGACAGATGCAATAATCTGAATTTCTAAGCTACTTTCATTTTACAATACACTATCACCCCG